GGCACAGTGGACAATGAGGCCAGTGCGTGCACAGGGCCCCCGGGGCACAGCCCACACCAACGGCCTTGGCATGGGTTTTACGCAGCAGGAGAGTGGCCTGTGTTAACGGAGTGGCAGGAGGAAAGCATGTACCCAAGGATGGCGAGGAGACCCCAGCCGCAGTCCTGGCTCTCTAGCCCCCAAACCCACACCAGGTTCTTCTTTGGGTCTCAATGTTCCCATTTTCTGTAAAATGGGGATACTTGAAAACCCCTGCATTTGCTATCAGGGAAATCAAACCTGGTGGGAGACCCAAGTGTGCCAGTGAAAATCAATGAAGCAGTGGAGACGGGAAACTGGTCTGCTGGAGTGAGCCCGAGACCAGCATGGGGAACAGCCACTTTGCTGGAAAGGAAGCCCAGAGGCCACGGAACACAAACGGTGGTGCTCACAGAAAGAGCATGTGCCCAGAAGCAGGGTTCCTTGTGGAGGACCGGGGACCTCGGGATGCCCACCCCGGCCCAGCCCTACCCCCCAGGCCAGCCGGCCACATTCGTACCTGGGCCACTGCATTCCCCTCTGGGCACCTCATTCCCAGAGGCATGTAAGGCTGGAAGGAAGTCAGAGAAGAGTTAGAAGCCAGGCGGCACCAGGTAGTGGGAGGTGAGGGAGGAGGCAACGTGGCCAAGAGGGGCCTGGAGCCTGGTGCACAGCAGTGAGACCTCGCTGCTGCTCGCTCTCCTGCCCCGACTGCCCTTCACCTTGGACCGATGAGCCCTCTCCCTCCAGGCTCTGGCCAGTGGCCGCAGGTGACCTGCAATAGCCCTGCGCAGGCTGGTCCAGTGGCCTGTTCAAGGCCAGCCAATAATGGGGTTGGTCAGGGTGAAAAGTGAGCTTCAGCCACTCTGGGTGTCCTTGCCCTAAGTCATCAGGCTCCCAGGATGCCTTGGGGTGGGAGGTGCTGACCTCAGGGGTGGGCAAGGTTGCAGGGAGAAGCTTTTGGGTCTGCTGAGACCTCTTCAGCCATCATTGCCCCCCACCAATCCCCCAGTCTCTCCTGCTTCTTGCCTCCCTTCAGGCCCCAGAGCAGAGGCCACCTCTTTTAGAAACAATAGCAACGACAGCAACGCAGGCTGCGTGCAGGCCAGGCTCCGTGCCGAGTTCCTCATACATGATTCCTTTAAGACCTCTAACACCGGGACCATCATCTCTCATGTACAGATGAGGAAATGGAGGTGGACAGGTTAATCAGCTTGCCCAAGGCCACGCTGTGGAGGGGAGAGCACTGAGCCCAGCTTCCTGCATCTCCAACCCCTGGCCTTCCTCTGCCTGGTGACTTCAGCAATGTCATTCCCTTCCTTCCACAGTCAGAGTACGGGACGTTGGGAGGCCAACGTTGAGGGCCCCAGGACCAGAGATGAAACCTCTGGGTCTCAGTTTGTTCATCTACAAAATGGGCAGTTAATGCCTCGCTCTCATGGTTATCAAGAGGGTCTGGGGCAGGAGCCTGCGTGAGAAGCACCCCAAGGGCTTGTGACGATGCAGGTGGCTGCGCCATGCCCTGAAGGTTTCTGATTTGGTACGTGTGGACTGGGGCCCGAGAATCAGCACTTCTAACAAATCCCAGGGAACACCCTGCCACCGCTGCCCTAGAATCCAGGTGAAGTGCTTTGTGCAGCGCCTGACACACAGTAGGTGCCTAACAAGAGCAACAAAAAAAAAACCCACCAAAAATAAAAAATAAAGACACCACCAGATGGCCTCCTTTCCTTTCTGCCCGGAGGTGCCCAGTACCAGGTTGCCTGGGTTTGAATATCCAAGGCAGGGCCTTGGATAACCCCACTATGCCTCAGTCTCCCCACCTGTAAAATGGGGAGAACAGTAGCACCTGCTTCATCCACTATGAGGATTATTATTACCAGAGAAACCACCGGGCCAGGGGATCCCTCCCAGCCCTGCGCTGGTATACTTCCAGTCCAGATCAACAAGGTCCTTTCCACCGCCCCCGGGGAGGGGCCTGCAGTGCTGCTGGGGCTGGCTGGGTCTCCGGGGAGATTCCGGCAGGGCAGCCTCAGGCTCCAACCCAGCACCTGCCTCACCTCCCCATCCTGAGCACAAAAGACAGGTCACGCGGTGTGCGCTGGCTGGGCCGGCAGACCCCGAGCCTACCAGCTATGTGCCAGGACTCCCCATGGGACGGGTTCTCCTTTCCCCCAGCCTCAGTCTCCTCATCCTTAAGATGGGGTAACACCCTGGGCACCAGAAGGCTTAATCAGGGCCTCTGATCTCTGTCCCCGATCTCTCAGAGTGGCCACAGAAGACCACCACGTCGTCACAAAAGCCTCAGCTCCAGCCAGCTCAGCCCTCCCTCCTCCCCCACCCAGCAGAGCACGCCTCTCCCCATCCCTACTGGGCTTTGTAAGCCCTGCAAGCGAGGCAGGGGTCATGGCCACACAGTTCTGGGCAGTGTCTGCTCCGGTTTTAACGTGTGGCCAAAGCTTGGCTTCTTACAGTGCTCCCACCAAGCCTGCATCCTGCCCATTCAGACAGCTGGAGGGATATTTACAGAAGGGACTGGGTTTCTGTACCCGGGGTCTTCTCCCTGGCTACAGACCCAGAACCCAAAATGGGATGACCCAAGGGACTCGCGGCCCCGGCCTTCCTTCTGTCAGACACTGGCCAGGCTTTTGGCCAACTTGGGTCAGAGAGACCCAAAGCTGGTGGGGAGGCCTGACTCAGGGCCTCCGCCCCACCCCCAGCGTGAGATGACAGTCACCCAAGGGCCCAGTTGCCCATTCCCAGCCAGGAGCTGGGATTCGGGCTGGTGAAACACTGCAGGTTGGAGGAGCCTGGATTTATCTGCAGGCCGGGCTTATAGAACCAGGAGGTGACTTGCACCTTCTGCCAGGGAGGAGCCGGTGCATTCAAAGGCAGAGAGGGAGGGAGGACGGGAACAACAGAAGGACTCCTGACGGGGCAGGAGGAAGGAGGGTTGAATTCACCAAGGACTTGGGCTCCGCTGGGCGGCTCGTGTCTCCTTCAGAGAGTCAGGGACACTCAACCGAGAAGGGCTGGGGTCCTCCAGGGGCTTTTGGTCACGTCGCAGTGGGAACGGTCTAGACCCCCAACTTCTTCTTTGACAGAGAAAAAGAGCCACAGGGGGTCGAAGGTGGATGAACTCGTGACCAAGAGTATGGGGCCAGGTGTGGGCAGCCCGTGTTCAGTTCCCGGGTCTATAAACACTGATAACAAAATTGAGCCATGTGTTATCCGGAGCCCTGGATAACACACAGCTCATGTGGTCACAGTCCTCCATTTCAGGGGACCAGGGAGACCTGCCAGCACCACGCACATGATGGCTTTACACCCTCTCTTCAGCAGCACTCACCTGGTGGGGCATCTGTCTAGTCTACAGCTGGTAGAACAACACTCTCTGTGGTACCTGGGGCACCTGGGCCCAGACCTTTAAGTGCCCGAGCCTCAGTTTCCCCATACAGAAAACAGGGACACCAAAGAAGGGGACCGAATTATTTATCACCCAAATAGGGACACTTGGGAGTAAAAGGAGGCACTAAAAATAACTATATAACGTTTACAATACTTCCTGACTGACAGATAGGTTCTACTTATACCGGTTACCTTGTAAAAGAGTTCTGGTCAAAAAACAATTTTCAGGCCTGGTGTGGTGGGTCACACCTGTAATCCCAGCACTTTGGGAGGCCAAGGCGGGCAGATCACCTGAGGTCAGGAGTTTGAGACCAGCCTGACCAGCCTGACCAACATGGCGAAACCCCATCTCTACTAAAAATACAAAAATTAGCCAGGTGTGGTGGCAGGTGCCTGTAATCCCAGCTACTCAGGAGGCTGAGGCAGGATTGCTTGAACCCGGGAGGCAGAGGTTACAGTGAGCCGAGATCACGCCACTGCACTCCAGCCTGGGCGACAGAGCAAGACTCCGTCTGAAAAAAAAACAAAACGAACAAACAAAACTATTTTCCAAAGTAAATTCTTTTCTAAACTGTGACACCAGATGGGGTGAAAGACAGCAGGCACCCACAGGGCTGGCCTGGACATCCGGTTACCCAAGCATAAGACTGAACTCATGGGCATCAGAAGGGCTGAGTGAGGCTTGGGGCTCCCAGAGAAGCTGATTATTCTCGGTATTGCTGTGGCCATCAATCTTGTGCCCATTACTGGTGAGTTTCTGGCAAGTCAGGCCCTCCCATTCCAGGGAGTCGAAGCCCCTTCTAAGAAGGACCCAGATGACTCAGGGGAGAGGACGCTGCCGGGGTCAGTTCCCACCATACCCTCCCTCAGAGCCTGGACCCACAGCGGCCAGCCACCGCCAAGCTGCGCCAGCCCTCACCTTCGGCCTCCTCCACCATCTCCTCCTCGTTTCCGCTCACGCCCGACGCCTCCATCTCCTCATCCTCCACCACGGGCGGGAACGCGGTCTCCTCGCTGGCCGCCGCCGGGGCTTTCTTCTTCTTCCTCCGCGCGTTCCTCTCCTTCTCCTGGGCACAGGGAAGCAGCAGATCAGGGCTGGGGCCTGGGGCCTGGGTTGTCAGCTTGGGGACTCCCCATGCCTGGGGCCTCACCACAGGTGCAAGGGGCAGTGATCCTGGCCATGTGGCAATGAGGGTGACCATCCCCCTCACACCCCACCTCGGCAACCAAGCGTGCCAGGGGTTATTTTTACCGGGGCCTTTATTCTTCCATTGAGCCCCAGATACACTCCGGGTACAGGCGGGCCCCCCAGCCACCTTGATATCCTTCCTGAGCGTGAGATAACCTGTCTGACACTGCCCAGGACTCTCCTAGCCAGAGTGACCACGCCTCCTGGGGACACCCTGTCAGCTTCATCGGCACATGTGGAGTGAATGAATACAGAAGCTTCTCCTTGCTATGCAAGTCTCACTCGTCCCCAGGGGCCAGGTCAGCCTGGGAAGCTCGCATTTCATTTCCTGAATTTTTACAGAACACCTACTGTGTGCCCGGTTCTGCACACCAGGGCTGTGGGGACACAACGCACAGGGTAGACAAGGGGTAGACCCTCGGAGGCTGCCCTGCCGCTGGGGAGACCAGCAATGTGCTCTTCACACAGAAGCACCACTCAGAGGGTTGCACAGGTGAAATGAGGTGGGACAAAGAGCACAAGGGCAGGTGCTCCTCTGGACAGAACAGTCCGGAAGGGCTTCTGCAAGGAAGTGACATTTGAGCCAAGATTTGACGGCGGAGGGAAGGGGCCAGCCAGGCTCTGGATGAGAGTGGCAGGTGCAGGGAGTCACAGGTGCAAAGGCCTCCGTCGGGGGAACATTCCGGGTGTGTCCCGGAATGGAAAGAAGCCCACGTCGTGGGGCCTCCACTTTCCCTGCTCCTAGGAACCCCAGCTCCTCACTCACAGAGCCCACCCTTCTTCCCCAACTTAGGCACCGTCATCAAACCGCTCATCTTTGTGGCTCACAGGGGTGGGTGTTTCTTTGTCCCCATGGTGAGCCAGGCAGAGACTCTGAAAGTGTTTGTTGACTGACTTGCTGAGCAACTGTGAAAGGCCAGCCTTCGTGGGCTTGAACGCACAGACAGCTGAGAGCAGGGGCATCGTGGAGGCAGCATCTCGAAGTGACTGGGGACTCCCAGGGGGACTGGAAAGACACTGGGGGGTGCCCACCACAGCCTGGTGTGACAGGAGCGGCAGCAGCCTGATCCCTCTGGGGTTGCTGAGAAAGAGGCAGGCCCCCCGCCACACCTGGAGGTACCCGCAGCTCTCAGCCAAGAGCCCTGTATTGTGTTGAATGGTGTCCCCCAAAGTTCACATCAACCCGGAACCTCAGACCGTGACCTTACTTACAAACGGGATTCTGCAGATGTCATTAGTTAAGATGTTGCCACACTGGAGTGGGGTGGGCCCTAAATCCAACAGGACTGACAGTCGTGGAAGAAGAGGGAAATACGGATTCAGGGACATGAAGACCCTGTGGCAGCCGAGACACATGTGGAGGGATGCAGCTACAAGCCAAGGAATGTCATGAACTGCCAGCAGTCACTGGAAGATGCAAGAGGCTCCCCTGCAGCCTTGAACGTGAGCACAACCCTGCGGACACTGGTTCCAGACGCCTGGCCTCCAGAATTGGAAGAGAATACATCTCTGTTGTTTGTACCGGTCTGTGGTACTTCCTTGCGGCAGCCACAGGGAATCACACATCCCTCTGCACTGGTGCGCCCAGATTCCAAGAAAAAGCTGCCTGACATCCAGACCACACAGCCTGCTCTCGGGCAAATGCCAGGTGGGCCCTGCCCACCCTGGCCCTTCACCATGGCCAGGCTGGAGCTGGGCCTCATGAAGGGGAGGAGAAGGGTTCTCAGGCTCCAAGCCCCAGCCACAGGCAGGGAATAGGATCACTTCCTGTCCTGCCTTCTTCCTGAGCAAACAGGGTTCCTCTGAGCACAGCCGCTTGGAACGCAGGGAGGAAAAGGGAAACGTCTGCTCGTCCGTTAGTCACAGTTTCCGTCACCAACAGTCGGCCGGAGGGCCACAGCCCTGCCCCTGCCAGTGCCCAGAGGGCCCACGGGGATGCCCAGCTCTGCAACCCCGCACATGTCCTGGGCCCAGTCCCAGCCCTGCCCCGAACCCTGAGCCTCTCCCAGGAGAGTTCGAGCCTGTGGCGGCCTGAGAAAGTGGTGGCATGTGGGTTCTGCGGCTGCGGCCGAGGGCTGCCCCTGCTTCCCGAATCTATTTTTGGCAGACAGAGGCTCAGGAAAGACTCAGGGCTGGGTGCCTTGAGCTGCCCGGGCAGTGGCTGGGACATGGGAGATACTCAGAGTCTCGCAGGGAACAGGGGTCTCCTGTCGGCCTGCTCGTGGCGCCCACCATCCTGGAGAGCAAGGTCTCTCTGTGGGGGGCAGGGTGGGGCCTCTGAGGCAGCGGACCAGGATGGTGCCAACACCCTGAATCCCCACAAGGCTGGGTCTCAGGGAGAGTCCCAGGAGTTACGGTTAATCCTTACACACATGGTCCAGCACTGTGGGATCTGGTGTGGAATACGAGAGGCTGGTGATGGCATCGGTCATTACGGCTGATGTTTACTAAGCACCTACTATGCGCCAAGCGGTTTCTGGTATTAATTTATCGGATCTGCACAGCCGCTCTGCATATCAGGGCATGTCACCCCCTGCTTCAGACTCTCCAACACCTGGATAAAATTCCCAAGTCCTCCGTCCATCCACATGGCCCTGTGTGATCCAGTCCTGGACCCCGCCTGCCTCTCCAAGCTGCTCTCCCCTCTTCCCTCCTCAGGGACTGTGCTACAAACACATTGCCCTCCTAGCCAGAGGGCCTCTGCACCGGCTGTTCCTCTGCCTGGACACCCTTGCCCCAGATATCTGCATAACTCACTTCCTCACCTCCTTCGGGCCTTAGCTCAGACATCAGAGAGGTCTTCCCTGATCACTCCATCATTAGCTCATCCCTCCCACCTCCACCATCAATCATTTTCTACTACATTCCTCTCATAGCATCTTCAGACTCCATTCCGAAATTGAGTGTGCGAACCTGTCTCTCGCACCAGTTCCTCAAGGGCTGGGATCTTTGTTCTCTGCTATATTCCCACCATACCTGGAACAGTGTCTGGCACAGAACAGATGCTCTGTAACTACGTCTTTAGATGAATGAACCTGATAGACAGGGACAGTGGCTCAGAGAGGCAGACACACGCACAAGACCACACAGCTCATGAGTCGAGGAACCCAGATTTGAATGCCGGCCAGGTTCAAACATTTCCTGGCCGGACCATCTCTCTGTAGGCCTGTGCAGCCTCAGGTAGAAGAGATTAACAGCAGAAAACAAGGCGGGGCCGGGCCAAGGCTGAGGAGGACAGAGACTGAGGAACATGGAAGCTGAGCCCGAGGGGCCTGCATTCACAGATGGGAGAAAAGGGTAACCTTCGGCCATAAGGAGGGGGAGGGAAACCTCGCAAAAGACACTGAGGCCAAGTGTTACATAACTCTGGGACATGCCCCGCCTGCCCACCCGCCCGCCGGATCCTGCTTCCTGCTGACGTCGCCTGTGGCCACACTCAGGCCAGGCCTGGTGCAAGGCAGGAGGGGACACCCACTGACCCTCTGCTTCCCCACTCCTTCCTTCTCTGGCCAAGGGTGACATGTCTTCCTGTACTCCAGACAGGGTTGGGCCAGCAGCCAGAGGTGGCTGTTACTGTGTCAGGATTCACTGGGATGTGCCTTCCTCCCTGGGACTGAAAGGCACAGGGGAGGGGCAGGAGGCGGAGGTCACCAGGTTCAGCGGCATCTCTCCGGGTGAGACCCGCTTGTATACTGCAGCGATGGGAAGCTCACCACTGCAGCAAGAGCGGCCACTGTCAAGACGGCTGGCCTGGCCTGAGCCCCGCTCCCTATGATGGGTCCCTGCATCTGCTCTGCTTTCACTGCAGCCCTCGATATGAGGGAGCTCCTTCGAGGTGGGCCAGGAGCGAGAACCAACCGCACACTCCCGAATCACTCATTCTCATCCAGGTCCCAACCTGGTTCTCAGGGTCCCCTCCTGCCCACGCCTCCGGAGTCTTCAGCATCAGGGGACAGAAGGGCCACCTTCTTTATCAGCTGTGTCATTCAGATCAGAATCACTCTCATCGACACTAGGACGACCCAACCTGAGTCCAGCCCTGGATGGGGGCTGTGCCTCAGCTCAGAATCCTTCCATGTAGCCTCCACTCCCTCCATGGTCCACTAAGTGTCAGCTTCTCAGCCCAGCAGGAAAGCCCCATCCATGCGTCTGCCCTCAGGGCACCTGCCATCGCTTCCCTGGGATACAGCAGGCGCTCAATAAGGGGTTGCTGAATGGACAGTGAGAATAATACTGGATGCTTATTGAGGGCTGACCAAGGAACAGGCACTACCCTTTACAAAAAGAAACACACTTGTTCTTCAACAGCCCTATGCCTGGGTCCCATTCTTAGCCCCATTTTACAGAGGTGGAAACTGAGGCACAGAGAGATGAAGTGAAGCCCAGTATCCTTTGACCCAGTCACTAAGCAGCGGAGCTAGGGTGCGAAGCCACCAGCTCCAAAGCCCTGCTTTGCACCATCCTTCTGGAGTGCCTCTCTGAATGAATGGATGAATCAATCAATCAATCAATCAATCAGTCGTGAGCGCATCACCATCAGCACTATCACAGCTCTCACTAGCAGAGTGCCTGGGGCACACTAGGCCGCATTCCAAGCACTCTGTAGGCAGCCACCCAGTGCATTCCCACAACAGCCCTTTGAGGTGGGTTTCATTATTGTCCCCATTTCACAGATGGGGAAACTGAGGTGCAGAGAGCATTGGTCACTTCCCCAAGGCCACACAGCTAGTAGGTGGCAGAGCCTACATTCAAACTCAGGTCTCCTGGGCCCAGTCCCTGCTCCCAACCCACAGCACACTGTGGCTGTGCCTGCACACACCACTCAAGAAGGGCCCTCGTCAGTGGGATCGTTGGCTGCATGTTTGTCCATGCCAGCAGCTTCATTGGTGGTTACTACACATGACAGGGTGCCTTGAGCATGGCCCATGCCACCTTGGCCCAGTGCTCATATCTCCCACAAATCTCCTAGTCTAATAAAACCTTCCAACTCAAAAAAAAAAAAAAAAGGAGGGGGTCTCAGGCAGCCCTGAGAAGGGGGTGGATGGCGTCAAGATAAAATAATAATGACCACAGCAGTAAGAGTAACTAGGGCAGGTCGCCTTCCCAGAGCATTGCCCCTCTGGCAGGCACTAAGGTCCTCACAGGTAATCACTCGTTCACTCCTCACAGGACCTCTTGGATAAGAACTGTTATTCCCGTACTTTACAGATGGGGAAACTGAGGCTTAGAAGGCTGAATTCACTGCCCAAGGTCACAGGGGTGCCCAAATCCACAAGCTGGGCCTTGCCCCCAGTCTCGCCCTGGGCCTAATGGGACGGTTCACCATGCTGGGGTCTCTGGTCCTCCAAGCCACTCTCAGGTTTTGGAGTCTCTGGGGGTACAACAGGGCCACACCCTGCGGAAGCCTGGAAAGCCAGGCTGAGTGGCAGCAGGCTGCAGGGGAGGAGACGCCTGTGGTCATGGGGTGAGGGGGACAGGCGGAGGGGACCCCGGAGGGGGAGGCGGGGTAAGGGGGAGGCGGGGTGAAGAGAGAGACAAAGAAAGGAAGGCTGGGGAGAAACCAGGGGGCCCTTTTTGTGCCTAGGGAGATGCTCAGGGCCAAACCCCTGCCCCTGAGTCATCCCGGATGGACCACTTCAGACTCCTGACCTGGCTGACAGAATCGATGGCCCACAACATCCCCTCACCCCGGCCCAGGCCCCCTGCTGCACCCCCAGGCTGCTGTGGCATGGGCCCTCTTTGCCATAAGGGACCTCAGCAGGTATTAGGAACAGGGGTCTGCACATTCAGCCAGACACGGTGCCTTCCTCTACACCCAACCAGAAAGCCCGAAGCATCCAGAAGAGGAGGGCGCTGCCTGAAGCCCTGAGCTCTGGGGACAAATCCCAGGGGCTGATGTGGAGGGCACGCGGGGCACTGCTTAACTGGAAGTGACGGGGAGGGGCCTCCCTGAGGCCAGAGGGTGGATTTCAGTGCTGACCACAGGGCCGTGGGACTGTGCCCCCTCGGTCCTGGAGCCACCAGCAGCCGCGCGCACACATGACTCACGAAGAACCCACTTGGGAGGGTGGAAGGATGTCCTTAAATTCTGCACAGTACTTGGGCAGAGTTCAAACAGGGCAAGGCTATACCTGGCCCTCCCACTGCAGGCTGTGTGACCTCACAGCCTGCTCACCCTCTCTGGGCCTCAGCAGGTTGCAGGGAGGGAGCAATTCAGCATGGCCTGTCTGGAACACACTGCATACACTTTACACCCAGGCGCAAGGCAGCCTGACGTCACGGTTTGGTGGGGAGGCGGAGAGGGGAGCTATGCAACCCCTCCCTCGTGCTTCTGTATCGATGAGGAAACACGCAGCCTAGCGATGAAGAGCGTGGGTGCTGATCTCATAACTGTGGGTACAAATCCCAATTCATTGCAGATGAGCCTGGCTAAGCCTCAGTTTCCCCAGCTCTAAAATGCTTGGCAAGCATGTCAAAGAGGGAGAAAGGAGGGAGGAAGGGAAGGAGAGAGGTAGTGAAGGAGAGAGGGAAGGCAGCAGAGGTCTCCCTCAAAATGCTCCTTGATTCCCAGAAATAGCTGTGGAAGAAGCGGCTGCTCCTTGGAGGCCATTAGGCGGCGAGGCGGGCCTGCACCTTCTGTGCAGGAGGGAAGGGTCTCAGCCTCCCGGGACCTGCCTCAAGCCCTCCAGGATGCTGGGGCTGAGATGTCCGCTCCCCGCCCCCTAGACCTGTCCCTCCCCGGCCACAGCAGCCCTAAAGCTGTGAGGTCAAATGGGGCGGGGGAGCTGCTCGCTCAGGACCCATTTGCCTCCGGGTCCTCATTCCAACGCGCTGACAGCCTGAATTCCTGGCTGAGTCAGTCTGGTCCACCGCGCTCCTTCCCCCACACCCTGAGCTGGGGCTGAGGGCCCCCAGAGGTGTCTGTCTGAGCGGAGCAGGGTCAGGGTGGGGGTGGAGGGCAGCTGGCCTGGCCCTTCTCCAGGGCAGGGACACACAGCAGCATTGCGGGCTGCAGCCATCTCGGGGCACTCCCAGGCTTGAACCCCCAGAAACTGAGTTCTAACAAGGCGGCATAACGGCCCCTCCCTGGCCCACGCCTCCTGGGGTGCAGAGACACCTCCTGAGGCAGCCTGAGCTCCTCTCGCAGCCCCCGGGGGCGCGGCGCAGGCGACTGCGGACTCACCATCTTCAGCTTGTGCTGCTGCAAGATCTCATCGAGGTTCTGCCTCTTCTTGTAGTTGAAGTAGAAGTTCTTACACTGTGACACGGTCTTGGAGCCCACCATCCGGGCGATGGCCGACCAGTTGCGGCCGTGTTCCAGGAGACCTGTCTCGGGAGAGGAGAGCAGTGAGGGGCGGCCAGGCCCGGCAGGCAGAGGGGCCTGTGTACATGGCCTGGGGGGCAAACGGGCCTGGAGCAGAAACCCAGCCTGGGGCTCCCTGCTCAGGCCCAGGACCTCGGGAAGAAGAGACAGCGATGGGCCACGTGTCCCCTGGCGGGGAAGGTACTAGAGGGTGGCAGGCCTGGCCTCTGGGGTCTGGTTTCTCAGTCACTTGACTCCAGGCCAGGATGCATGGGAAAGGCCTGGGCTGGAGGAGCCAAAAGCGACAGGTGAAGCCCCACTGAGCCACCGCGCAGAAGTCTGGGGGCGGAGGGCTGTGAATGTCCAGGATGCACAGCCTCTGCCCAGGCCCCACCTCTCCTGCCTCCCCCAAGCTGGGCGGGAGGGCGGCCGACGTGACCCAGCCCTGACACTCGCTCACAGCTGCAGGCGAGGCCTCGGGAGACCGTTGTTTTCCGGCCACACCGGCCCAGGGAAAGGAAGGGACGTGGTGAGCAGGGGATGGGAGGGTGGAGGTCAGGGTGGGGGTGAGCTGGGGCCAGGAGCCTCCGGGCCCAGGTTAACTGGGGCACCTCCAGGGCCCAAACTCCCTAAGGGCACCTAAAGGCCCACTCGGGACTCAAGGCCCACCAGGCCGGGTTGGGCGGCTGGAATTTGCTCTCAAACCCCAACCCGCACCACCAGGAGGTTCTCTCAGCCTCACAGACCTCCTGCTGTGGGAAGAGACCCTCCAGGAATTGGCAGAAAAAGTTCCCTCCATCCCCAGGTCTCAGGCCAGAGCGGCATGCCGCCCCCCACGTTCTAGTTTCAAGGCCACAAACACCAGGCTCAGCAGAAACACAGCCCCTGCTGCACCGGAGGCAGCGCCCGGGAAGCCAAGCCCCCGGCCTCGGCCCATCTGCCCGGCGAGCTGTGGCACACACAGGCACAGGCACAGGCCAGGCAGCTCTATATTTATGCCCGTGTCTCCAGCGGCGTGACCTTGTATGGCCCAGCCAGCCCGTGCAGGTAGGGCCTGCCCACTTTCCCAGGGCTGTGGGAGAGACAGGGAGCGCTCCTGACCTAGGGGGCTGTGAGGCAAGAGGGTGCCCCTCCAGGGCAGCAGGCCCCAAGGCTGAATCACGTAGCTCGGGACTTGGCAGCTTCCCTGAGCTGGAGCTATACTTGTAAGGACTTAATGAAGGATTTCCCGTAATGAAGTTTTTGACTATTTTCCTTGAATCAAATCAATCTGCAAGCCAAGCTCCAGCTAAAATGGTTCAGGGGTCGTGGAGCCGAGGGGCAGCCGTCTGTGTTGGTATTTTCATTCATTCCTTCATTCCTTCCTTCCTTCCTTCCTTCCCTCCTTCCTTCCTTCCTTCCCTCCTTCCTTCCTTCCTTCCTTCCTTCATTCATCCATCCACCCACCCACCCACCTACCCACCCACGTGCCGGCTGCCTGCCTGCTACACACAAGGCTCTAACGCAAATAAAATAACAGCAGCAGAAACATCAACACATCAGCCCATGGCATGGCTAAGTGACACACAGAGTTTGCAAAGCCCTTCAAAGACTTGGTTCCTTCTCATCCTTGCTGTCGTGGCTGTGACCATTTTCCCATCCCCAGGAGGGGGAAATCTCCTGGGGAGATTTCAGAGGGTCCCGCCAACTCACCCAAGCTTAGAGGACCAGCCAAGGCAGGCAACGCGGGCATGGGGCCCCAGACTTCCTGCCCTCCGGGTCCTCTGGCCCCCGTGGCGTGGGGGTGGCACTGACTGACAGGCCACCTGCTCGCCCGCTGTGGCCCTGGGAGCCACGTGGCCTCACGGCCCGCTCCTCAGGGTTCCTCAAGGACAGGCGCAGAAGGGGAGGGCCGGGGCGTGGGATCAAGTGGCACCCGGCCCCTGACCTTTCCCTCCGCCCGCGCCAGCAGCAGCTGCCACTTCCAGAACCTGGTGGACGGGGCCGTGCGTTTATTTATATTTCCCCAGCCGGGGCCAAGAGAGCCCAGGCAAACATGCTGGGCCAGAGGGATCAGAGGCCCGGAACCCGGGTGGGAGAGGGCAGGTCTCCCATCTGGGCCTGCCGGGTTGGGTGGGCATGGAGAGCCCGGGGGGGGGGGGGTGGCCCGACGACGCTGGGGAGGTTGACATTTCCAAACTCAGTCAATAAATAAGGAGGTGGCTAGGAGCCTGGCTGGGGGTTGGGGACCCTAATTAACTCCAATCATGGGGGCAGTGGGAGAGGGTTGAGGGCAGGGGAGAGGGGATGGAGGTGGGGATGGGGGTCACCCAGTCCTTCCTGAAAACATGCGGCTCCCAAAGGAGCAATGGGCAGAGTCACCCGGGCACCTGGCCAGAGCTCGCCAGCAGTCTCGGCCAGCCCTTCTGCTCTCCGGCCTCAGTTTCCTTAACTGCCCTGTGAGGGACCAGAGTGGGTGTTCCATTAGCGCCGGCCAGGGCCTCGGGGTAGGGGCAGGCTGGCACTGGCTTCCTCTGGTTTGTGTTTTGGGAAGCCCAGGCAGAGGGTGCCGGGCACAGGGAGAAGGACTTTCTACCCCACCGTGCCTTGGAGCCCACCCCGCCAGACCCAGCCTGAAGCCCCCGTCCACCTGGAGAGCCCCCTCTGCACAGAGCATCACAGACCTTCCCAGGCACAGATCCAGGTCCCACCCCTGCTTCCAGGAGAGCCTCAGCCCAGCAGGAAGAGAGAGGAGGGGGCACGGGGGAAAGGATGGGCTGGGACCCCCATCCACTCCAGGGCCCAGAACTCCAACTCCCCAGCTGCCCCAGCTGCCCAGCCTCAAATCCCAGACGGCCACGTTGCGGTCCCTGCCCCTGCACCCGCAGTCCCCCATCCCCTCCCCAGGACCACTCACTCACATCCTCTCATCCGCGTCTCCCCCTCGGCCAAGTTTTCCGGAAACATAGGGCTGGGAAGATGCCCCGGGGAGCGGGCCCAGAGAAGTGGGCCGGCAGGGCCCAGTGCTCATATCTCCCACAAATCTCCTAGTCTAATAAAACCTTCCAACTCAAAAAAAAAAAAAAAAAGGAGGGGGTCTCAGGCAGCCCTGAGAAGGGGGTGGATGGCGTCAAGATAAAATAATAATGACCACAGCAGTAAGAGTAA